CTCACAACAACGAGCGGAGCGCCGGGTGGCTAAGGCACAGCAGGTTGGCACAGTAGGGGGCACAGGTGGTGCATCAGCCAGTCATCTCAGTCAGTCGACCCGTGGCACCTGTTGGGTCTGCCCCGTGACCTCCTGCCAGTGGGCGTTCAACACTTCACGTGGCCTCAAGGTGCACATAGCTTGGAACAAGTGTCGTGGTGACGTCACCGCCACTTAGTGGCGATTGGCAGTTGTTGTGTGTAGGTGTGTGTGTATAGGTGGGTGTATAGGTGGGTGTAGGTGTGTGTAGGTCTGTGTGTGTGTGTAGGTGTGCGTGTGTGTAGGTGTGTGTGTGTAGGTGTGTGTCTGTGTGTAGGTGTGTGTGTGTGTAGGTGTGCGTGTGTGTAGGTGTGTGTGTTACCGCCTGTTGCTGTGTTGTAGTAGTACGTGTGTCCCTCATTAGTCACAGTCTCCACCCAGCCTCCCTGTACACACGCACACAGTGACACACACACAGTGACACACACACACAGTGACACACACACACAGTGACACACACACACACAGTGACACACACAGTGACACACACACAGTGACACACACGCAGTGACACACACACACAGTGACACAAACAGTGACACACACAGTGACACACACACAGTGACACACACACACAGTGACACACACAGTGACACACACAGTGACACACACACAGTGACACACACACACAGTGACACACACACACAGTAACACACACAGTGACACACACACAGTGACACGCAGTGACACACACACACAGTGACACAAACAGTGACACATACAGTGACACACACACAGTGACACACACACAGTGACACACACAGTGACACACACACAGTGACACACACACAGAGACACACAGTGGCACGCACAGTGACACAGACACACAGTGACACACACAGTGATACACACACAATGACACACACAGTGACACACACGCAGTGACACACAGTGATACACACACAGTGACACACACAGTGACACACACAGTGACACACACGCAGTGACACACACAGTGACACACACACACAGTGACACACACAGTGACACACATACAGTGACACACACACAGTGACATGCGCAGTGACACACGCAGGGACACACACACAGTGACACACACACACAGTGACACACACACACACACACAGTGACACAGTGACACACAGTGGCAGGCACAGTGACACACACACACAATGACACACACAGTGATACACACACAGGGACACACACAGTAACACACACGCAGTGACACACAGTGACACACACACAGTGACACACACAGTAACACACACATACAGTGACACACACACAGTGACACGCACAGTGACACACACACAGTGACACACTGACCGTGATACATACACAGTGACACGCGCAGTGACACACACACAGTGACACACGCATAGTGACACACAGTGACACACAGTGACACACACAGTGACACACACACAGTGACACACACACAGTGACACACACACAGTGACACACAGTGACACACACACAGTGACACACAGTGACACACACACAGTGACACACAGTGACACACACAGTGACACACACACAGTGACACACACACAGTGAAACACACACAGTGACACACAGTGACACACACAGTGACACACACAGTGACACACAGTGACACACACACAGTGACACACAGTGACACACACACAGTGACACACAGTGACACACACACAGTGACACACACAGTGACACACAGTGACACACACACAGTGACACACACACACAGTGACACGCACAGTGACACACACACAGTGACACACACACAGTGACACAAACAGTGACACACAGTGACACACACACAGTGACACACGCAGTGACACGCGCAGTGACACGCACAGTGACACACACAGTGACACACGCACAGTGACACACGCACAGTGACACACACAGTGACACACACACAGTGACACACACAGTGTGACACACAGTGACACACACAGTGACACACACAGTGACACACAGTAACACACACACAGTGATACACACACAGTGACACACACACAGTGACACGCAGTGACACGCGCAGTGACACGCACAGTGACACACACACAGTGACACACACAGTGACACACAGTAACACACACACAGTGACACACAGTGACACACACACAGTGACACGCACAGTGACACACAGTGACACACACACAGTGACACACACACAGTGACACACAGTGACACACACAGTGACACGCACAGTGACACACACACACACACACAGTGTATCCTCTAGCAGGCTGTAGGGGCAAGTGCTGTTGGTAGTAGCAGCAGCGCTACCTGTGAAGGCTACCGGCACTGTGGCATACACAGAGGGGGTGGGTGGCCAGCACCACCACGCCCGGCCGCCTTTGTCTCTCCCCCAGGGCTAGCGATGTTCACTACACCACCATCGCTACACCAGCTACTACTCGTTTAAGTGAGTGGGTAAGTGAGTGGGTGGGTGAGTGGGTGAGTGAGTGAGTGGGTGGGTGAGTGAGTGGGTGAGTGAGTGAGTGGGTGAGTAAGTTAGTGGGTGGGTGAGTGAGTGGGTGAGTGAGTGGGTGAGTGAGTGGGTGAGTGAGTGGGTGAGTGGGTGAGTGAGTGGGTGAGTGAGTGGATAAATGGGTGAGTGAGTGGGTGAGTGGGTGAGTGGGTGAGTGAGTGTGTGAGTGGGTGAGTGAGTGAGTGGGTGAGTGAGTGAGTGGGTGGGTGAGTGAGTGGGTGGGTGAGTGAGTGAGTGGGTGAGTGGGTGAGTGAGTGGGTGAGTGAGTGAGTGAGTGACTGGGTGAGTAAGTGAGTGGGTGAGTGAGTGGGTAAGTGGGTAATTGGGTGAGTGAGTGGGTGAGTGGGTGAGTGAGTAGGTGAGTGGGTGAGTGAGTGTGTGAGTGGGTGAGTGAGTGAGTGGTGAGTGTGTGAGTGAGTGAGTGGGGTGAGTGGTGAGTGGGTGAGTGAGTAATTGGGTGAGTAAGTGGGTGAGTGAGTAATTGGGTGAGTGGGTGGGTGAGTGAGTGGGTGAGTGAGTGGATAAATGGGTGAGTGAGTGGGTGTGTGAGTGTGTGAGTGGGGTGAGTGAGTGAGTGGGTGAGTGAGTGAGTGGGTGGGTGAGTGAGTGGGTGGGGTGGGTGGGTGAGTGAGTGAGTGGGTGGGTGAGTGAGTGAGTGGGTGAGTGAGTGAGTGAGTGGGTGAGTGAGTGAGTGGGTGAGTGAGTGGGTGGGTGAGTGAGTGGGTGGGTGAGTGAGTGGGTGGGTGAGTAAGTGAGTGGGTGAGTGAGTGGGTGAGTGAGTGGGTGAGTGGGTGAGTGAGTGGGTGAGTGAGTGGGTGAGTGGGTGGGTGAGTGGGTGAGTGAGTGAGTGGGTGGGTGAGTGAGTGGGTGGGTGAGTGAGTGGGTGGGTGAGTGAGTGGGTGGGTGAGTGAGTGGGTGGGTGAGTAAGTGAGTGGGTGGAGTGAGTGGGTGAGTGGGTGGGTGAGTGGGTGAGTGAGTTACCAAGTCAAATCCTTGTGGTTGTTCCCACTGCACTTCTGCACCACCACAACAACAACAATCAGACTCAGGAGAGCAAAGTCAAGACTCGCCCACTCACCCAATCACTCACCCACTTACTCACCCACTTACTCACCCACTCCACCCACTCACTCACCCACTCACTCACTCACCCACTCACCCACTCACTCACTCACCCACTCACTCACTCACCCACTCACTCACTCACCCACTCACCCACTCACTCACCCACTCACTCACCCACTCACTCACTCACTCACCCACTCACCCACTCACTCACCCACTCACTCACCCACTCACTCACCCACCTACCCACTCATCCACCCACTCACTCACCGACCCACTCGCCTACTTACCCACTCACTCGCCCACCCACTCACTCACCCACCCACTCGCCTACTCACCCACTCACTCCCCCACCCATTCATCCACCCACCCACTCATCCACCCATTCACTCACCCACCCACTCACTCACTCGCCCACCTACTCATCCACCCACTCATTCGCCCACCCACTCATCCACCCACTCACTTACTCACCCACTCACTCACCCACTCACTCACTCACCCACCCACCCACCCACTCACTCACCCACCCACCCACTCACTCATCCACCCACTCACTCACCGACCCACTCACCTACTCACCCAACAACGCCTCCTCTGACTGAGCAGCTATTACTAAATCATCAGCATACATAACGTGGTTGAGCAATAGGGAGCCATCCCTTGACCGCACCCGGGCATCGATCAGCCTCCCATTATATCTGTACCAAATGGAGATTCCCACGGTACAGCTATTGAAGGCTTCACGAACTACGTGGTCAAAATAGATGTTAAATAATGTGGGAGCCAGAGGACATCCCTGTCTCACCCCAAGGTGTACAGGGAATGGCTCTGACTCCCGGCCACGTAGTTTTACCCGGGCCCGCTCACCATCATGAAGGTCCTTAATGATCGTGAGCAGAGGGTCAGGTACTCCAAAAGCACGAAGAACAACCCAGAGCCCAGGCCTACTCACTCACTCACCCACCCACTCACTCACTCATCCACTCACCCACTCACTCACTCGCCCACCCACGCATCCACCCACTCACTCACCCACCCACTCACTCACCCACCCACTCATCCACCCACTCACTCACTCACCCACCCACTCACTCACCCACTCACTCACTCGCCCCACCCACTCATCCACCCACTCACTCACCCACCCACTCACTCGCCCACCCACTCACTCACCCACCCACTCACTCACCCACCCACTCACCCACCCACTCACTCGCCCACCCACTCATCCACCCACCAACCCACCCACCCCACCCACCGCACCAACCCACCCACCTCTGCTGGTGTTGTTGTAGTAGTAGGGGTGACCATCAGCCGTGGTCAGCATGGACCAAACCGCAGCGCCACCACTCGCTCCACCCGCTCCACCCGCTCCACCCGTTCCACCTCCACCCGCTCCACCTCCACCCACTCCACCTCCACCTCCCAGTACCCCCTCCTCTCTGCCGACATTCTGCGGCTCCTCCGGTTTCTCCCCCTTCCTCTGGATCCCCATCGGTCCCCCTGGACCCCTCGCCGGGTCCCCTTTACCCGGGTCCCCTTTACCCGGGTCCCCTTTACCCGGGTCCCCTTTACCCGGGTCCCATTTATCCGAGACCCCTTTATCCGGAAGCCGTTTATCCGGGACCCTTTTATCCGTGACCCCTTTATCCGGAACCCATTTATCCGGGACCCCTTTATCCGGAACCCCTTTATCCGGGACCCCTTTATCCGGGACCCCTCTCCCTCCGGCTCCCTGTGCGTGCTGTGTGCAGGAGTCCGAGTCTGCCGAAGACACCGAGACAGAGACAGAGACAGACACCGAGACAGAGACAGAGACAGACACCAAGACAGAGACGCCCCAGGTAGCCTCCTGAGCAAGGGGAGCAGAGCGAGATGGTGGTGCTGGTGGTGAGCGTGGTAGTGGTGAGCGTGGTGCTGGTGGTGAGTGTGGTGGTGGTGGTGGTGAGTGTGGTGGTGAGCGTGGAGGTGGTGGTGGTGATGGTGGTGGTGAGCGTGGTGGTGGTAGTGAGTGTGGTAGTGGTGAGCACGGTGCTGGTGGTGAGCATGGTAGTGGTGAGCATGGTGGTGGTGGTGAGCGCAGTAGTGGTGAGCGTGGTGCTGGTGGTGAGCGCGGTGGTGGTGGTGAGCGTGGTAGTGGTGAGCGTGGTAGTGGTGAGCGTGGTGCTGGTGGTGAGCGTGGTAGTGGTGAGCGTGGTGGTGGTGGTGAGCGTGGTAGTGGTGAGCGTGGTGCTGGTGGTGAGCGTGGTGGTGGTAGTGAGTGTGGTAGTGGTGAGCGGCGGTGCTGGTGGTGAGCGTGGTAGTGGTGAGCGTGGTGGTGGTGGTGAGCGCAGTAGTGGTGAGCGTGGTGCTGGTGGTGAGCGCGGTGGTGGTGGTGAGCGTGGTAGTGGTGAGCGTGGTAGTGGTGAGCGTGGTGCTGGTGGTGAGCGTGGTAGTGGTGAGCGTGGTGGTGGTGGTGAGCGTGGTAGTGGTGAGCGTGGTGCTGGTGGTGAGCGTGGTGGTGGTAGTGAGTGTGGTAGTGGTGAGCGCGGTGCTGGTGGTGAGCGTGGTAGTGGTGAGCGTGGTGGTGGTGGTGAGCGCAGTAGTGGTGAGCGTGGTGCTGGTGGTGAGCGCGGTGGTGGTGGTGAGCGTGGTAGTGGTGAGCGTGGTAGTGGTGAGCGTGGTGCTGGTGGTGAGCGCGGTGGTGGTGGTGGTGAGCGTGGTAGTGGTGAGTGTGGTAGTGGTGGGCGTGATGCTGGTGGTGAGCACGGTGGTGGTGGTGGTGGAGAAGAGCGTTGTAGTGGTGGTGAACGTGGTGGTGGTGGTGAGCGTTGTGGTGAGCATTGTGGTGGTGGTGGTGAGCGTGGTGGTGGGCGTTGTGGTGGTGGTGAGCGTGGTGGTGGTGAGCGTGGTGGTGGTGAGCGTGGTGGTGGTGAGCGTGGTGGTGGTGAGCGTAGTGGTGGTGGTGGTGAGCACGGTGGTGGTGGTGGTGAGCGTTGTGGTGGTGGTGAGCGCGGTGCTGGTGGTGAGCACGGTGGTGGTGAGCGTGGTGGTGGTGGTGAGCACGGTGGTGGTGGTGGTGAGCGCGGTGGTGGTGAGCGTGGTGGTGGTGAGCGTGGTGGTGAGCACGGTGGTGGTGGTGAGCGTGGTGGTGGTGAGCGTGGTGGTGAGCGTGGTGGTGGTGGTGGTGAGCGTGGTGGTGGTGAGCGTGGTGGTGGTGGTGGTGAGCGTGGTGGTGGTGGTGAGCGTGGTGGTGGTGGTGGTGAACGTGGTGGTGGTGAGCGTGGTGGTGGTGGTGGGGAGCATGGTGGTGGTGGTGGTGAGCGTGGTGGTGGTGGTGAGCGTGGTGGTGAGCACGGTGGTGGTGGTGAGCGTGGTGGTGGTGGTGGTGAGCACGGTGGTGAGCACGGTGGTGGTGGTGAGCGTGGTGGTGGTGGTGGTGAGCACGGTGGTGGTGGTGAGCGTGGTGGTGGTGGTGGTGAGCGTGGTGCTGGTGGTGAGCACGGTGGTGGTGGTGAGCGTGGTGGTGAGCATGGTGGTGAGCACGGTGGTGGTGGTGAGCGTGGTGGTGAGCACGGTGGTGGTGGTGAGCGTGGTGGTGGTGGTGGTGAGCACGGTGGTGGTGGTGAGCGTGGTGGTGGTGGTGGTGAGCGTGGTGCTGGTGGTGAGCACGGTGGTGGTGGTGAGCGTGGTGGTGAGCATGGTGGTGAGCACGGTGGTGGTGGTGAGCGTGGTGGTGAGCACGGTGGTGGTGGTGAGCACGGTGGTGAGCGTGGTGGTGGTGAGCACGGCGACCCTCACCGTGCGGCCCCAGGGCCCCCAATCGCCGGAGGTCTCCCTCATAGGCCCAGGCAGCAGCCTGCTCCATGGCCCTGAAGGCCGCTCCCATCTCCTCATCCAGCTGAAGCTTCTCCTGGCGCCTCTTGCGGATCTGGGGGGGAGTGGTGGGGAGGGGTGAGTGGTGGGGAGGGGGGAGTGGTGGGGAGGGGGGAGTGGTGGGGAGGGGTGAGTGGTGGGGAGGGGTGAGCGGTGGGGAGGGGTGAGTGGTGGGGAGGGGTGAGAGGTGGGGAGGGGTGAGTGGTGGGGAGGGGTGAGCCGGTGGGGAGGGGGGAGTGGTGGGGAGGGGGGGAGTGGTGGGGAGGGGGGAGTGGTGGGGAGGGGTGAGCGGTGGGGAGGGGTGAGTGGTGGGGGAGGGGTGAGTGGTGGGGAGGGGTGAGCGGTGGGGAGGGGGGAGTGGTGGGGAGGGGGGAGTGGTGGGGAGGAGTGAGCGGGTGGGGAGGGGTGAGTGGTGGGGGGGGAGTGGTGGGGAGGGGTGAGTGGTGGGGGGTGAGCGGTGGGGAGGGGTGAGTGGTGGGGGGGGGGTGAGTGGTGGGGGTGGGTGAGTGGTGGGGGGTGAGTGGGTGGGGAGGGGTGAGTGGTGGGGGGGGGTGAGTGGTGGGGGGGGGTGAGCGGGTGGGGAGGGGTGAGTGGTGGGGAGGGGGTGAGTGGTGGGGAGGGGTGAGTGGTGGGGAGTGAGTGGTGGGGGTGAGCGGTGGGGAGGGGTGAGTGGTGGGGGGTGAGCGGGAGGGAGGGGTGAGTGGTGGGGGGTGAGTGGTGGGGGGTGAGAGGGAGGGGTGAGAGGGAGGGGGGGGTGAGAGGGAGGGGGGGGTGAGAGGGGGGGAGCTGATCCAGGGTGACAACTCATGAGGCCTGGATAGGGGGTGGGTGGTGTGGGTGGGTGACACACGGAGAGACACGGAGACACGGAGAGACACGGAGAGACGGAGAGATACGGAGAGACATGAGGAGACACACGGGGAGACATGGGGAGACACACGGGGAGAGACACGGGGAGGACACGGGGAGAGACACGGGAGAGACACGGGGAGACACGGGGAGACACGGAGACACGGAGAGACACAGCGAGACACAGAAGACACGGAGAGACACTGGTAGACACACGGGGAGACAAGGGAAGACACGGGGAGACACGGGGAGAGACACACGGGGAGACAAACGGGGAGAGACACGGGGAGACCACACGGGGAGAGACACGGAGAGACACGGGGAGAGACACGGGGAGAGATACGGGGAGACACTGGGGGAGACACTGGGGGAGACACGGGGAGACACGGGGAGACACGGGGAGAGACACGGGGAGAGACACGGGGAGACACGGGGAGACACACGGGGAGAGACACGGGGAGACACACGGGGAGACACACGGGGAGAGACACGGGGGGGAGACACGGGGAGACACGGGGAGAGACACGGGGAGAGACACAGGGAGAGACACGGGGAGAGACACGGGGAGACACGGGGAGAGACACGGGAGAGACACGGGGAGACACACGGGGAGACACACGGAGAGACAGAGACACACGGGGAGACACACGGGGAGACACACGGGGGAGACACGGGGAGACACGGGAAGACACGGGGAGACACAGGGAGACACACGGGGAGACACACGGGGAGAGACACGGAGAGACACGGGGAGACACACGGGGAGACACACGGGGAGAGACACGGGGAGACACGGGGAGACACACAGGGAGAGACACGGGGAGAGACACGGGGAGACACACGGGGAGAGACACGGGGAGACACGGGGGGACTGACCTCATCGATCTTGAGCTGTACGTTCAGTTTGTGATTCTTCCCTCGCTCGTGGAAATCTCGACTCTACGGAGAGACACACACAGAGAGACACACATAGAGACACACATAGAGACACACACAGAGACACACACAGAGAGACACACAGAGAGACACACACAGAGACACACACAGAGACACACATAGAGAGACACACATAGAGACACACACATAGAGACACACACAGAGAGACACACACAGAGAGACACACACAGAGACACACACAGAGACACACATAGAGACACACATAGAGAGACACACAGAGAGAGACACACACAGAGAGTGACTCTACAGAGAGACACACACACACACACAGACACACACAGAGACACACACAGAGACACACACAGAGAGACACACACAGAGAGACACACACAGAGAGACACACACAGAGAGACACACACAGAGACACACACAGAGACACACACAGAGACACACACAGAGAGACACACACAGAGACACACACAGAGACACACATAGAGACACACACACAGAGAGACACACACACAGAGACACACACAGAGAGTGACTCTACAGAGAGACACACAGAGAGAGACACACAGAGAGACACACACAGAGACACACATAGAGACACACACAGAGAGACACACACAGAGAGTGACTCTACGGAGAGACACACACAGAGAGACACACAGAGAGACACACACAGAGAGACACACACAGAGACACACACAGAGAGTGACTCTACAGAGAGACACACACAGAGACACACAGATAGACACACACAGAGAGTGACTCTACAGGGAGACACACACACAGAGACACACAGAGTGATTCTACAGAGAGACAACAACAACAACCGCCATTCGCCACTAAGTGGTGGTGACGTCACCACGACGCTTGTGCCAGGCTATGTGCACCCTGAGGCCACGTGAAGTGTCGAACGCCCGCGGGCAGGAGGTCACGGGACAGACCCAGGTGCCACGGGTCGACTGATTGAGATGACTGGCTGATGCACCACCTGTGCCCTCTACTGTACCAACCTGCTGTGCTTTAGCCACCCGGCGCTCCGCTCGCTGTTGTGAGCGTCGCTCCTCTGCCCTCCATTGTTGTTGGAGGGCGACTACCTCCAACTGCCCAGTAGCGTCCTTCACGAGCCTCCTCCACAGAGGCCGATCTTGACACCACTGGTACCAGTCATCGGCAAGTCCACTCAGCTCCACGTCCTCCTGTACCACATCACTCCATCTCTTCTCTAGCCCGTGCCGCGCCGCTTAGCCCCCTCGATCCGGCCGAACAAAAGCTGTTTCGGCATGTGGTGGCTGGGCATGCGGGCTACATGACCCAGCCAATGCAGTCTTGCCTGCTGGAGGAGCTCACCGATGGGACCTTGCCCAGATCTTTCAAGGATTTTTGAGCTCCTCACACAATCCAGCCTGGTTAAACCCAGGATGGATCGTAGGCAGGCCAGCCTAAATGTTTCTAACCGGCGAAGATGCTCCATTAAGGGGGTCCACGTTTCGCAAGCGTAGAGAAGGGAGGGAATGACCGTGGCCGAGAAGACCTGAAGCTTAGTGCGGAGCGACAGACCAGGTAGCTTCCACACAGCGTTACGCAACCGATGAAAAGATATTGCCGCTCGACTGATTCGGAGTGAGACCTCTGCTGTTAAACTGGAGCTGGTCATAAGCACACTGCCCAGGTATGGGAAACTCTCCACTCTCTCAACAACTGCCCCATCACCAATTGGGAGTTGTGGGGGTGGAGTGTCCGATGGTACAAAATACCCAGGCAGGTGCTTAGTTTTGGTGGGGCTGATGGTAAGGCCCCATCTCTTAGTGGCACGCTCCAGTCTCAGCAGCAGCGTCTCCAACTCCTCCTCTGAATGAGCAGCTATTACCAAATCATCAGCATACATAACGTGGTTGAGCAATAGGGAGCCATCCCTTGACCACACCCGGGCATCGATCAGCCTCCCATTATATCTGTACCATATGGAGATTTCCCCGGTACAGCTATTGAATGGCTTCACGAACTACGTGGTCAAAATAGATGTTAAATAATGTGGGAGCCAGAGGACATTCCTGTCGCACCCCAAGGTGTACAGGGAATGGCTCTGACTCCCGGCCACGTAGTTTTACCCGGGCCCGCTCACCATCATGAAGGTCCTTAATGATTGTGAGCAGAGGGTCAGGTACTCCAAAAGCACAAAGAACAACCCAGAGCCCAGGCCTAATGATGGTATCATAGGCCTTGACCAGGTCAATAAAGCAGAGATGTAGGTCTTGCTGGAATTCCCTACACCTCTGCTGTAGCAGACGGACAGAAAATATGGCATCTGTGCAGGACCGCCCTTTCCTGAAACCGCATTGGGGCTCCGCAGAGAGACACACACAGAGAGTGACTCTACAGAGAGACACACACAGAGAGACACACACAGAGAGTGACTCTACAGAGAGACACACACAGAGAGACACACATAGAGAGTGACTCTACAGAGAGTGACTCTAGAGCGAGACACACACAGAGAGACACATAGAGAGACACACACACAGAGACACACACAGAGAGTGACTCTACAGAGAGACACACACAGACAGACACACACAGGAGTGACACTACAGAGAGTGACTCTACAGAGAGACACACACAGACACACACACAGAGAGACACACACAGAGAGACACACACAGAGAGTGACTCTACAGAGACACACACAGAGAGACACATAGAGAGACACACACAGAGAGACAAACACAGAGAGTGATAGTGATGGGGTAGAGTGAGTGATAGTGATGGGGTAGAGTGAGTGATAGTGATGGGGTAGAGTGAGTGATAGTGATGGGGTATAGTGAGTGATAGTGATGGGGTAGAGTGAGTGATAGTGATGGGGTAGAGTGAGTGAGTGGTAGAGTGAGTGGTAGAGTGAGTGAGTGGTAGAGTGAGTGAGTGGTAGAGTGAGTGGTAGAGTGAGTGAGTGAGTGGTAGAGTGAGTGGTAGAGTGAGTGAGTGGTAGAGTGAGTGGGTGAGTGAGTGAATGAGTGATAGAGTGAGTGAGTGTAGAGTGAGTGAGTGGTAGAGTGAGTGAGTGAGTGGTAGAGTGAGTGGTAGAGTGAGGGAGTGGTAGAGTGAGTGAGTGAGTGGTAGAGTGAGTGAGTGGTAGAGTGAGTGAGTGAGTGGTAGAGTGAGTGGTAGAGTGAGTGAGTGGTAGAGTGAGTGAGTGGGTGAGTGAGTGAGTGATAGAGTGAGTGAGTGGTAGAGTGAGTGGTAGAGTGAGTGAGTGAGTGGTAGAGTGAGTGAGTGGTAGAGTGAGTGAGTGGTAGAGTGAGTGAGTGAGTGGTAGAGTGAGTGGTAGAGTGAGTGAGTGGTAGAGTGAGTGGTAGAGTGAGTGGTAGAGTGAGTGAGTGAGTGGTAGAGTGAGTGAGTGGTAGAGTGAGTGGTAGAGTGAGTGGTAGAGTGAGTGAGTGATAGAGTGAGTGGTAGAGTGAGTGGTAGAGTGAGTGGTAGAGTGAGTGAGTGGTAGAGTGAGTGAGTGGTAGAGTGAGTGGTAGAGTGAGTGAGTGAGTGGTAGAGTGAGTGAGTGGTAGAGTGAATGAGTGATAGAGTGAGTGGTAGAGTGAGTGAGTGAGTGGTAGAGTGAGTGAGTGAGTGGTAGAGTGAGTGAGTGGTAGAGTGAGTGAGTGGTAGAGTGAGTGAGTGAGTGGTAGAGTGAGTGGTAGTAGAGTGAGTGAGTGGTAGAGTGAGTGGTAGAGTGAGTGAGTGGTAGAGTAAGTGAGTGAGTGGTAGAGTGAGTGAGTGAGTAAGTGGTAGAGTGAGTGGTAGAGTGAGTGAGTGAGTGGTAGAGTGAGTGAGTGAGTGGTAGAGTGAGTGGTAGAGTGAGTGAGTGAGTGGTAGAGTGAGTGAGTGGTAGAGTGAGTGAGTGGTAGAGTGAGTGGTAGAGTGAGTGAGTGAGTGGTAGAGTGAGTGGTAGAGTGAGTGAGTGAGTGGTAGAGTGAGTGAGTGAGTGGTAGAGTGAGTGAGTGGTAGAGTGAGTGAGTGGTAGAGTGAGTGGTAGAGTGAGTGAGTGGTAGAGTGAGTGAGTGAGTGGTAGAGTGAGTGAGTGAGTAAGTGGTAGAGTGAGTGGTAGAGTGAGTGAGTGAGTGGTAGAGTGAGTGAGTGAGTGGTAGAGTGAGTGGTAGAGTGAGTGAGTGGTAGAGTGAGTGAGTGGTAGAGTGAGTGAGTGGTAGAGTGAGTGGTAGAGTGAGTGAGTGGTAGAGTGAGTGGTAGAGTGAGTGAGTGAGTGGTAGAGTGAGTGAGTGAGTGGTAGAGTGAGTGAGTGGGTGAGTGAGTGGTAGAGTGAGTGAGTGAATGAGTGGGTGAGTGAGTGGTAGAGTGAGTGGTAGAGTGAGTGAGTGAATGAGTGGGTGAGTGAGTGAGTGGTAGAGTGAGTGAGTGGTAGAGTGAGTGAGTGGTAGAGTGAGTGAGTGGTAGAGTGAGTGGTAGAGTGAGTGGTAGAGTGAGTGAGTGAATGAGTCGGTGAGTGAGTGAGTGAGTGGTAGAGTGAGTGAGTGGTAGAGTGAGTGGGTGAGTGAGTGAATGAGTGATAGAGTGAGTGAGTGGTAGAGTGAGTGAGTGGTAGAGTGAGTGAGTGAGTGGTAGAGTGAGTGGTAGAGTGAGGGAGTGGTAGAGTGAGTGAGTGAGTGGTAGAGTGAGTGAGTGGTAGAGTGAGTGAGTGAGTGGTAGAGTGAGTGGTAGAGTGAGTGAGTGGTAGAGTGAGTGAGTGGTAGAGTGAGTGAGTGATAGAGTGAGTGAGTGGTAGAGTGAGTGGTAGAGTGAGTGAGTGGTAGAGTGAGTGAGTGGTAGAGTGAGTGAGTGGTAGAGTGAGTGAGTGAGTGGTAGAGTGAGTGGTAGAGTGAGTGAGTGGTAGAGTGAGTGGTAGAGTGAGTGAGTGGTAGAGTGAGTGAGTGGTAGAGTGAGTGAGTGGTAGAGTGAGTGGTAGAGTGAGTGGTAGAGTGAGTGAGTGATAGAGTGAGTGGTAGAGTGAGTGAGTGGTAGAGTGAGTGGTAGAGTGAGTGGTAGAGTGAGTGAGTGGTAGAGTGAGTGAGTGGTAGAGTGAGTGAGTGAGTGGTAGAGTGAGTGAGTGGTAGAGTGAATGAGTGATAGAGTGAGTGGTAGAGTGAGTGAGTGAGTGGTAGAGTGAGTGAGTGAGTGGTAGAGTGAGTGAGTGGTAGAGTGAGTGAGTGGTAGAGTGAGTGAGTGAGTGGTAGAGTGAGTGAGTAGTAGAGTGAGTGAGTGGTAGAGTGAGTGGTAGAGTGAGTGAGTGGTAGAGTGAGTGAGTGAGTGGTAGAGTGAGTGAGTGAGTAAGTGGTAGAGTGAGTGGTAGAGTGAGTGAGTGGTAGAGTGAGTGAGTGAGTGGTAGAGTGAGTGGTAGAGTGAGTGAGTGAGTGGTAGAGTGAGTGAGTGGTAGAGTGAGTGAGTGGTAGAGTGAGTGGTAGAGTGAGTGAGTGAGTGGTAGAGTGAGTGGTAGAGTGAGTGAGTGAGTGGTAGAGTGAGTGAGTGAGTGGTAGAGTGAGTGAGTGGGTGAGTGGTAGAGTGAGTGAGTGAATGAGTGGGTGAGTGAGTGAGTGGTAGAGTGAGTGGTAGAGTGAGTGAGTGAATGAGTGGGTGAGTGAGTGAGTGAGTGGTAGAGTGAGTGAGTGGTAGAGTGAGTGAGTGGTAGAGTGAGTGAGTGGTAGAGTGAGTGAGTGGTAGAGTGAGTGATAGAGTGAGTGAGTGGTAGAGTGAGTGAGTGGTAGAGTGAGTGATAGAGTGAGTGAGTGGTAGAGTGAGTGAGTGTTAGAGTGAGTGAGTGTTAGAGTGAGTGAGTGGTAGAGTGAGTGAGTGGTAGAGTGAGTGAGTGGTAGAGTGAGTGAGTGGTGGAGTGAGTGAGTGTTAGAGTGAGTGAGTGGGTGAGTGAGTGAGTGATAGAGTGAGTGAGTGGTAGAGTGAGTGAGTGGTAGAGTGAGTGGTAGAGTGAGTGAGTGAGTGGTAGAGTGAGTGGGTGAGTGGTAGAGTGAGTGGTAGAGTGAGTGAGTGGTAGAGTGAGTGGTAGAGTGAGTGGTAGAGTGAGTGAGTGGTAGAGTGAGTGAGTGGGTGAGTGAGTGAGTGGTAGAGTGAGTGAGTGGTAGAGTGAGTAGTAGAGTGAGTGAGTGGGTGAGTGAGTGAGTGGTAGAGTGAGTGAGTGGCTACCGGTTGGTTGTCCGCTATCCAGCATTTGCAGTAATCGCAGAATTTCCTTGGTTGTGACTTCCAAAAGTCCGCCCTGAAAGAAACAGACGCAGCACGAGACTTAGTCTGGCTCTGTGAGCCCCCAGTGATTAACACTGAACCCTGTGGGGGCAGCCTTAGTCTGGCTCTGTGAGCCCCCCAGTGATTAACACTGAACCCTGTGGGGGGAGCCTTAGTCTGGCACTGTGAGCCCCCCAGTGATTAACACTGAACCCTGTGGGGGGGGGGCCTTAGTCTGGCTCTGTGAGCCCCCCAGTGATTAACACTGAACCCTGTGGGGGGGGGGGGGGGCCTTAGTCTGGCTCTGTGAGCCCCCCCAGTGATTAACACTGAACCCTGTGGGGGGAGCCTTAGTCTGGCTCTGTGAGCCCCCCAGTGATTAACACTGAACCCTGTGGGGGGAGCCTTAGTCTGGCTCTGTGAGCCCCCCAGTGATTAACACTGAACCCTGTGGGAGGAGCCTTAGTCTGGCTCTGTGAGCCCCCCAGTGATTAACACTGAACCCTATGGGGGGGGGCCTTAGTGGTGGCTCTGTGAGCCCCCCAGTGATTAACACTGAACCCTGTGCGGGGAGCCTTAGTCTGGCTCTATGAGCCCCCAGTGATTAACACTGAACCCTATGGGGGAGCCTTAGTCTGGCTCTGTGAGCCCCCCAGTGAATAACACTGAACCCTATGGGGGGGGCCTTAGTGGTGGCTCTGTGAGCCCCCCAACCCCCAGTGACAATACTCACATTTCCACGCAGCTTTGTGGCTCGTCCCCGAACTGGTCCCAGGAGCAACACAAACAAAACGCCCCAAAACCACCAAACTTTAAACCTCCTCCATCTCGCCGAAGCACGTGGAGGAGTGGAGCGGAGAGAGCTGGGTCGGGTGGAGGAGCAGCGAGCAGAGGGGCAGAGGGCTCAGCCAAGCAGAGGGGGTGACCACCATCCACTCCACACACACCGGGGGGGGACAGCAGGCTTACTGCGCATGCGCGAAATGTCGTAAAATTCTAACTCCCTTTCCCCCCCAGTCCCCGTTGTACCTCCCCCTGCCGCCCGCCTCCACGCTACGCGAGCTGTCGCAAAACTGCTGACGTTTGGGGTTGCGTTACGTTAAAGGGGGGGGGGGGGGGGCGGGGATATCGTGGAGGAGGTGAGGGACGCCATCTTACCTAGGGGTTGCTGTGAGTGACGTGAGGGACGCCATCTTACCTAAGAGTCTGTGTCGGGGGACGACCGTGAGGGTACGCCATCTTACCTAGGGTTTGCCGTGTGTGTGTGACGTGAGGGACGCCATCTTACCTAGGGTTGCCGTGCGTGTGTGTGACGTGAGGGACGCCATCTTACCTAGGGTTGCTTGTTTGCGTGACGTGAGGGACGCCATCTTACCAAGGGCGAGTATCGTAAACCGACCAATGGCGCCTCGGCGCCTCGGCACCCCCCCCCCCAAACCTCCCATCCCCCTTCCCCCCCAACGTTGCGCGCAAGGGATTGTGGGTGCCCGCGTGATGACGTCACCGCGCGATGGCGTCGCTAAGCAGGCGAGTGCTGTTATCCTACTTGATTTTCCGTCGCCAAAAATTTCTCGCGATTTGCGCAGAAGCTCGGCGTCGGCGGCGTCGCAACAACAACCCCCGCCCCGCCGCCGCCGCCGCTACGTCCGTGTTGTGTCTCTCTCCCTCTCTCGTTCGCTGACTTCGTCTGTCTGCGCGCGTCCTTCGCAGGAGCCAGGCTGACGTGCGGCCCGCGGATGAAGGCTCGACTCAGGCGAGTCTCTCTCCTCCCCTCCCTCCCTCTCCTCCCCTAGCAACGGCGAGTTGGGCCTGCCGACGCCGTTATTTGTTTTGTTAATTTGCTCCTTGTTGTTATTGTTGTGGTTATGATTATTGGTAACGATGGGGGTAAAAATCTTTCACTTCCTCCCATGTTCTGCGATCCTGTGTTGTTACGCGGGCACAGAAACAGATGATTGTGTTCATATTGGCACGTGCCGTGAGATGTATGAGCGCTACGGGGTGATCAGTAAGGTCTTAATTTGTCTGTTATAAGGTTGGGCACTGCGCTAAACACTAGGAAACAATGGTCTATAGTAGTGTATAGTGGTGTGTACACTAGTATACACTACACTATCATACCTGTCAACCCATGTGGTGAGGTTTGACTTCGTCTCTAATAAGGGATCTAGTGGTGAGTGTGGTAGTGGTGAGTGTGGTAGTGGTGAGTGTGGTAGTGGTGAGTGTGGTAGTGGAGAGTGTGGTAGTGGTGAGTGTTGTAGTGGTGAGTGTGGCAGTGGTGAGTGTGGCAGTGGTGAGTGTGGCAGTGGTGAGTGTGGTAGTGGGGAGTGTGGTAGTGGGGAGTGTGGCAGTGGTGAGTGTGGTAGTGGTGAGTGTGGTAGTGGTGAGTGTGGTAGTGGTGAGTGTGGTGAGTGTGGTAGTGGTGAGTGTGGTAGTGGTGAATGTGGTAGTGGTGAGTGTGGTAGTGGTGAGTGTGGTAGTGGTGAGTGTGGCAGTGGTGAGTGTGGCAGTGGTGAGTGTGGCAGTGGTGAGTGTGGTAGTGGTGAGTGTAGTAGTGGTGAGTCTAGCAGTGGTGAGTCTAGTAGTGGTGAGTCTGGCAGTGGTGAGTCTGGCAGTGGTGAGTCTGGCAGTGGTGAGTGTGGTAGTGGTGAGTGTGGTAGTGGTGAGTCTGGTAGTGGTGAGTCTGGTAGTGGGGAGTGTGGTAGTGGTGAGTGTGGTAGTGGTGAGTGTGGTAGTGGTGAGTGTGGTAGTGGTGAGTGTGGTAGTGGTGAGTGTGGTAGTGGTGAGTGTGGTAGTGTTGAGTGTGGTAGTGGTGAGTGTGGTAGTGGTGAGTGTAGTAGTGGTGAGTGTTGTAGTGGTGGGTGTTGTAGTGGTGAGTGTGGTAGTGGTGAGTGTGGTAGTGGTGAGTGTGGTAGTGGTGAGTGTGGTAGTGGTGAGTGTGGTAGTGTTGAGTGTGGTAGTGGTGAGTGTGGTAGTGGTGAGTGTGGCAGTGGTGAGTGTGGCAGTGGTGAGTGTGGCAGTGATGAGTGTGGCAGTGGTGAGTGTGGCACTGGTGAGTGTGGCAGTGGTGAGTGTGGCAGTGGTGAGTGTGGCAGTGGTGAGTGTGGTAGTGGTGAGTGTAGTAGTGATGAGTCTAGCAGTGGTGAGTCTAGCAGTGGTGAGTCTAGCAGTGGTGAGTCTGGCAGTGGTGAGTGTGGTAGTGGTGAGTGTGGTAGTGGTGAGTGTGGTAGTGGTGAGTGTGGTAGTGGTGAGTCTGGTAGTGGTGAGTCTGGTATTGGTGAGTGTGGTAGTGGTGAGTGTGGTAGTGGTGAGTCTGGCAGTGGTGAGTGTGGCAGTGGTGAGTGTGGCAGTGGTGAGTGTGGTAGTGGTGAGTGTGGTAGTGGTGAGTCAAGTAGTGGTGAGTGTGGCAGTGGTGAGTGTGGTAGTGGTGAGTCAAGTAGTGGTGAGTGTGGCAGTGGTGAGTGTGGTAGTGGTGAGTCTAGTAGTGGTGAGTCTGGTAGTGGTGAGTTTGGTAGTGCTGAGTCTACTAGTGGTGAGTCTTGCAGTGGTGAGTCTATCAGTGGTGAGTGTAGCAGTGGTGAGTGTAGCAGTGGTGAGTGTAGCAGTGGTGAGTCTGGCAGTGGTGAGTCTGGCAGTGGTGAGTGTGGCAGTGGTGAGTGTGGTAGTGGTGAGTCTGGTAGTGGTGAGTGTGGTAGTGGTGAGTGTGGTAGTGGTGAGTGTTGTAGTGGTGAGTGTTGTAGTGGTGAGTGTTGTAGTGGTGAGTGTGGCAGTGGTGAGTGTGGCAGTGGTGAGTGTGGTAGTGGGGAGTGTGGTAGTGGGGAGTGTGGTAGTGGTGAGTCTGGTAGTGGTGAGTCTAGTAGTGGTGAGTCTGGTAGTGGTGAGTCTAGTAGTGGTGAGTCTAGCAGTGGTGAGTCTATCAGTGGTGAGTGTAGCAGTGGTGAGTGTAGCAGTGGTGAGTCTGGCAGTGGTGAGTGTGGCAGTGGTGAGTGTGGCAGTGGTGAGTGTGGCAGTGGTGAGTGTAGTAGTGGTGAGTCTAGTAGTGGTGAGTCTGGCAGTGGTGAGTCTGGCAGTGGTGAGTGTGGCAGTGGTGAGTGTGGCAGTGGTGAGTCTGGCAGTGGTGAGTGTGGCAGTGGTGAGTGTGGCAGTGGTGAGTGTGGCAGTGGTGAGTGTGGCAGTGGTGAGTCTGGTAGTGGTGAGTCTAGTGGTGAGTGTAGTCGTGGTGAGTCTGGTAGTGGTGAGTCTGGTAGTGGTGAGTCTGGTAGTGGTGAGTCTAGTAGTGGTGAGTCTAGCAACGGTGAGTCTAGCAGCGGTGAGTGTAGCAGTGGTGAGTGTGGCAGTGGTGAGTGTGGCAGTGGTGAGTGTGCCAGTGGTGAGTGTAGTAGTGGTGAGTGTAGCAGTGGTGAGTCTGGCGGTGGTGAGTCTGGCGGTGGTGAGTCTGGCAGTGGTGAGTGTGGCAGTGATGAGTGTAATCGTGGTGAGTCTAGCAGTGGTGAGTCTAGCAGTGGTGAGTCTAGTAGTGGTGAGTCTAGTAGTGGTGAGTGTAGTAGTGGTGAGTCTAGTAGTGGTGAGTCTAGCAGTGGTGAGTCTAGCAGTGGTGAGTCTAGCAGTGGTGCGTATAGCAGTGGTGTGTCTGGTAGTGGTGAGTGTAGCAGTGGTGAGTGTGGCAGTGGTGAGTGTGGCAGTGGTGAGTCTAGCAGTGGTGAGTGTAGCAGTGGTGAGTCTGGCAGTGGTGAGTCTGGCAGTGGTGAGTGTGGCAGTGGTGAGTGTAGCAGTGGTGAGTGTACCAGTGGTGAGTCTGGCAGTGGTGAGTCTGGCAGTGGTGAGTGTGGCAGTGGTGGGTGTGGCAGTGGTGGGTGTGGCAGTGGTGGGTGTGGCAGTGGTGAGTGTGGCAGTGGTGAGTCTTGTAGTGGTGAGTGTGGTAGTGGTGAGTGTGGTAGTGGTGAGTCTTGCAGTGGTGAGTCTAGCAGTGGTGAGTCTAGCAGTGGTGAGTCTAGCAGTGTTGAGTCTAGCAGTGGTGAGTGTAGCAGTGGTGAGTGTGGCAGTGGTGAGTGTGGTAGTGGTGAGTGTGGTAGTGGTGAGTCTTGCAGTGGTGAGTCTAGCAGTGGTGAGTCTAGCAGTGGTGAGTGTGGCAGTGGTGAGTGTGGCAGTGGTGAGTGTGGCAGTGGTGAGTGTGGCAGTGGTGAGTGTGGCAGTGGTGAGTGTGGCAGTGGTGAGTGTGGCAGTGGTGAGTGTGGCAGTGGTGAGTGTGGCAGTGGTGAGTGTGGCAGTGGTGAGTGTGGCAGTGGTGAGTGTGGCAGTGGTGAGTGTGGCAGTGGTGAGTGTGGTAGTGGTGAGTCTAGCAGTGGTGAGTGTAGCAGTGGTGAGTCTAGCAGTGGTGAGTGTAGCAGTGGTGAGTAGCAGTGGTGATTGCCTATTTCTTCGTGTCTCTCCCTTGTGATTGGACTTTGTCGGATGTACGTTGAGAAATGTCGTACTCAGATTGTAAATGTTGTAGCTCGGCTCTCCCAACACACCGGTCTGGTGTACGAGTGTAGTGACTCAAGTCCGAAACGGTCAGACTTGCAGACGGTTCTTTTATTTAACGAGCATCATCGGGAGAATACACACCCTACGTGGGTACACACTATTACTGTTGCTGGCCTATACACCAGGGGTTCCCCAACCCCCGGGTCGCGGTACCGCTACCGGTGCCGTGGCCCTGTTAGGAACCGGGCCGCACAGCAGGACGCGAGCGGTGGGCGAGCGAGCGAAGCTTCGTCATCATCTGTATTGACGGACGCTCCCCCATCATCGCTCGCATGACAGTCTTGAGAGCTCCGCCTCCCGTCAGGTCAGCGGTGGCATTAGATTCTCACGTGGAGCGCGAAGCCGACTGTAGACTGCCCATGCTGAGGGGTCTAGGGTTGCGCTCCTCCTCATGAGAAGTCAGAATCCGACACGCATATTAGCCCGCGCGTGGCCGGACCCATTATTTTATTTACCACTTCCGTCCGCGCCTCCTTTCCCGCACTCGTCTCAGTCACGCGGTGTTGGTAAGCCCACAAGCTCTAACCCCTAGTAGCCACAGTGAGTAAGCTCACACGCTCTGACCCCCTAGTAGCCACAGTGAGTAAGCCCACAAGCTCTAACCCCCTAGTAGCCACAGTGAGTAAGCCCACAAGCTCCAACCCCTAGTAGCCACAGTGAGTTAGCCCACAAGCTCTAACCCCTAGTAGCCACAGTAAGCCCACAAGCTCTAACCCCTAGTAGCCACAGTGAGTAAGCCCACAAGCTCTAACCCCTAGTAGCCACAGTGAGTAAGCCCACAAGCTCCAACCCCTAGGAGCCACAGTGAGTAAGCCCACAAGCTCTAACCCCTAGTAGCCACAATGAGTTAGCCCACAAGCTCTAACCCCTAGTAGCCACAGTGAGTAAGCCCACAAGCTCTAACCCCTAGTAGCCACAATGAGTAAGCCCACAAGCTCTAACCCCTAGAAGCCACAATGAGTTAGCCCACAAGCTCTAACCCCTAGTAGCCACAGTGAGTAAGCCCACAAGCTCTAACCCCTAGTAGCCACAGTGAGTAAGCCCACAAGCTCTAACCCCTAGTAGCCACAGTGAGTAAGCCCACAAGCTCTAATCCCTAGTAACCACAGTGAGTTAGCCCACAAGCTCTAACCCCTAGAAGCCACAGTGAGTAAGCCCACAAGCTCTAATCCCTAGTAGCCACAATGAGTTAGCTCAAAAGCTCTAACCCCTAGTAGCCACAGTGAGTAAGCCCACAAGCTCTAACCCCTAGTAGCCACAATGAGTAAGCCCACAAGCTCTAACCCCTAGTAGCCACAATGAGTAAGCCCACAAGCTCTAACCCCTAGTAACCACAATGAGTAAGCCCAGAAGCTCTAACCCCTAGTAACCACAATGAGTTAGCCCACAAGCTCTAACCCCTAGTAGCCACAATGAGTAAGCCCACAAGCTAACCCCTAGTAGCCACAATGAGTAAGCCCACAAGCTCTAACCCCTAGTAGCCACAAGGAGTAAGCCCACAAGCTCTAACCCCTAGTAGCCACAATGAGTAAGCCCACAAGCTCTAACCCCTAGTAGCCACAGTGAGTAAGCCCACAAGCTCTAACCCCTAGTAGCCACAAGGAGTAAGCCCACAAGCTCTAACCCCTAGTAGCCACAATGAGGTAAGCCCACAAGCTCTAACCCCTAGTAGCCACAAGGAGTAAGCCCACAAGCTCTAACCCCGAGTCGCCACAACATTTATATATTCACGCGATGTTGCTTGCGAAAGCCTTCCTACGCGTTCGGCTCATCTTAAAGCCCCCTGTCCTCTCGCCGGAGAGGGTTAAGCCCATGAATTTTTGTTCATCGAAATTTTAAAAGTTGTCGTCGTCGTGGTGGAAGTCGCCACTCTCCCGACTGGTTTTTTTTGTTCACGTCGCCTCGGGGGGGGGGGGGGGTCTCCCCCAACTGTTTTAGCGTCGTAACATTCGGACGTTTGGCATAGGGCGGTGTGTGTGTGTGTGGTCAACATCAGCGCTGGGGGAGACAAAGGCGGCCGGGCGTGGTGCTGGCCACCCACCCCCTCGTGTGCCACAGTGCCGGCATTCACAGGTGCTGCTACTCGCCAACAGCACTTGCCCCAGAAGTATGTTACAGGCTATCAGGGAGATCTTTGTCTGTGTACCCATCAGGACCCCGATGCTGCCCCAATGCCTGCACCGAAAATCAGGTACAGAGACTCCACCCCCTACCCCTGACTCCGCCCCTCCCCTGGCTCCACCCCTACCCCTGACTCCGCCCCTCACCTGACTCCACCCCCCTTATCTGGCTCTGCCCCCACCCCTGACTCCGCTCCCAACCCTGGCTCCGCCTCCACCCCTGACTCCGCCCCTGACTCCACCCCCTGACTCCTGACTCCGCCCCTGACTCCACCCCTGACTCCACACCCTGACTCCTGACTCCGCCCCTCACCTGACTCCACCCCCTTCTCTGGCTCTGCCCCCACCCCTGACTCGCGCTCCCAACCCTGGCTCCGCCTCCACCCCTGACTCCACCCCTGACTCCACCCCTACTTCTGACTCCGCCCCCACCCCTGACTCCACCCCTGACTCCACCCATGGATCCACCCCCACCACTGACTCCGCCCCTGACTCCGCCCCCTCCTCTGACTCCTCCCCTGATTTCACCCCTACCCCTGGTCGTGTGTGTATTGCGTTGCTGTGAAGACACGTGTGTGTAGTGTTACATGTGTGTAACGTGTGTGTGTAGTGTAACTTGTGTGTGTGTAGTGTAATGTGTGTGTGTAGTGTAATGTGTGTGTGTAGTGTAACGTGTGTGTAGTGTAACGTGTGTGTGTGTAGTGTAACGTGTGTGCGTGTAGTGTAACGTGTGCGTGTAGTGTAACGTGTGTATTGTGTGTGTAGTGTAACGTGTGTGTGTAGTGTAACGTGTGTGTGTGTGTGTAGTGTGTGTTGTGTAACGTGTGTGTAGTGTAACGTGTGTGTGTAGTGTAACGTGTGTGTGTGTAGCGTATGTGTGTGGTGTAAACGTGTGTGTAACGTGTGTATTGTGTGTGTGTTGTGTAACGTATGTGTAGTGTAACGTGTGTGTAGCGTGTGTGTAGCATGTGTGTGCGTAGTGTAGCATGTGTGTAACGTGTGTGTAGTGTAACGTGTGTGTAACGTGTGTGTGTGTAGTGTAACGTGTGTGTAGCGTGTGTGTAACGTGTGTGTAACGTGTGTGTGTAGTGTAACGTGTGTGTAGCGTGTGTGTAACGTGTGTGTGTGTAGTGTAACGTGTGTGTGTTGTGTAACGTGTGTGTGTAACGTGTGTGTAACGTGTGTGTAACGTGTGTGTGTTGTGTAACGTGTGTGTAACGTGTGTGTGTTGTGTAGCGTGTGTGTAGCGTGTGTGTAACGTGTGTGTGCAGCGTGTGTGTAGCGTGTGTGTAACGTGTGTGTGTTGTGTAACGTGTGTGTAACGTGTGTGTAATGTGTGTGTAACGTGTAACGTGTGTGTAACGTGTGTGTGCGTAGTGTAACGTGTGTGTAGCGTGTAACGTGTGTGTAACATGTGTGTGCAGCGTGTGTGTGTTGTGTAGCGTGTGTGTAACGTGTGTGTGCAGCGTGTGTGTGTAGCGTGTGTGTAATGTGTGTGTAACGTGTGTGTAACGTGTGTGTGCAGCGTGTGTGTAACGTGTGTTGTGTAACGTGTGTGTAACGTGTGTGTGTTGTGTAACGTGTGTGTAACGTGTGCGTGTTGTGTAACGTGTGTGTAACGTGTGTGTGTTGTGTAACGTGTAACGTGTGTGTGTAACGTGTGTGTAACGTGTGTTGTGTAACGTGTGTGTGTGTAACGTGTGTGTGTAACGTGTGTGTGTAACGTGTGTGTGTTCTACCGCGCCGCGTTGTCGCTGTGCAGGCACGAGTGGTACCAGACGGATGCCCACGTGGTGCTCTCCGTTCTCCTGAAGAAGGCGGCGCAAGAGAGCGTGAGCGTGGAGCTCACGGACACCACGGTGACTGCACCGCCACCACCGCCACAACCATCTCCACCACCACAACCACCACAACCATCTCCCACCATCACCATCATCTCCCGCCATCACCACCACCTCCACCACCATCACCACCATATCCACCACCACAACCACCACAACCATCTCCCACCATCACCATCATCTCCCGCCATCACCACCACCTCCACCACCATCACCACCACCATCACCACCACAACCATCTCCACCACCACAACCACCACAACCACCACAACCATCTCCCACCATCACCATCATCTCCCGCCATCACCACCACCTCCACCACCATCACCACCATATCCACCACCACCACAACCACCACAACCATCTCCCACCACCACCTCCACCACCATCACCACCACAACCATCTCCCACCATCACCACTACCTCCATCACCACCATCTCCCACCATCACCACCACCACCATCACCACCACAACCACCACAACCATCTCCCACCATCACCACCACCTCCATCACCGCCACAACCACCACAACCATCTCCCACCACCTCCATCACCACCATCTCCCACCATCACCACCACCTCCACCACCATCACCACCACAACCACCACAACCACCACAACCATCTCCCACCATCACCACCACCTCCACCACCATCTCCCACCATCTCCCACCATCACCACCACCTCCACCACCATCACCACCATATCCACCACCACCAGCACAATCACCTCCACCAGCACCACCTCCACCACCAACCATCACCACCACCAGCACCTTATTCACCACCACCATATTCACCGCCACAACCACCAGCACAATCTCCACCATCACCACCATATCCACCACCAGCACAATCACCTCCACCAGCACCACCTCCACTACCAACTACCACAATCACCACCACAGCCAACCACATTCACCACCACAGCCAACCACAATCACCACCATAGCCAAGCACAATCACCACCACAGCCAACCACAATCACCACCACAGCCAATCACAATCACCACCACAGCCAACCACAATCACCACCACAGCCAACCACAATCACCACCACAGCCAACCACAATCACCACCACAGCCAGCCACAATCACCACCACAGCCAACCACAATCACTACCACAGCCAACCACAATCACCACCACAGCCAACCACTACCAACACTACCGCCGCAGCCACTACCACCACCACCACAGCCACTGCAACCACAATCACCACAGTCAACCACTGCCACCACAACTACCACCAAAAACAACAACCACAATCACCACCAACGACTACTACAGCCACCAGAGCTACCACAACCACCAACTACAATCACTACCACCACTACCACCACAGCCACCACCACTACCACCACAGCCACCACCACTACCACCACAGCCATTACAACCGCCATTACCATCACCACCACCATTACCACCACAAACACTCCCACAATCACCACCACAATCACCACGACCACCACTACTGCTACAGACACCATCACCACCACAGCCACTACAACCACAATCACCACCACTAAAACCACGACTACCGCCACCATAATCACCACAATCACTACCGCCACGACCACCACTACCACCACTACCACCGCAGATACAATGACCACCACTACCACCACAACCACCAGCAACAATCACCACTACCGCCGCAACCACTACCACCACGATCACCAACAACCACCACAACCACTACAACCGCCACAACCACCACCATCACTACCCCCTGTCTCCCCGTGTCTTTATGTGTCCCCGCGTCTCCCCGTGTCTCCATGTGTGTTCCCGTGTCTCCCCGTGTCTTTATGTGTCCCCGTGTCTCCCTGTGTCTCCGCGTATCTCCCCCGTGTCTCCCCGTGTCTTTATGTGTCCCCGTGTCTCCCTGTGTCTCCGCGTATCTCCCCCGTGTCTCTGTGACTCGCAATGACTCCCAGTGTCTCCCCGTGTGTCCCTGTCTCCTCGTGTCTTCTTGTTTCCCTAGAGGACGCCACGTCTCTGTGTCTCCGCGTCTCCCCGTGTCTCCCCGTGTCTTCCCGTGTCTCCCCGTGTCTTTATGTGTCCCCGTGTCTCCCCCGTGTCTCCCAATGACTCCCAATGACTCCCAGTGTCTCCCCGTTTGTCCCTGTCTCCCCGTGTCTCTTTGTGTCCCTGGAGGGCGCCACGTCTCTGTGTCCCCGTGTCTCCCCGTGTCTTTATGCGTCCCCGTGTCTCCCTGTGTCTCCGCGTGTCTCCCCCGTATCTCCCAATGACTCGCAATGACTCCCAGTGTCTCCCCGTGTGTCCCTGTCTCCCCGTGTCTCCGCTCTTAATGTTTGCGTGCCTTCCCCCCAAACCCCCCCCCCCCCTCCAACCACAGTGCTGCATCACTTCCACGTTACTTGGCGGGGCCCAGTACACTCTCCAGCTGTGTCTCTGTCACCGGATCATCCCAGCCGAGAGCTCTCACCGGGTCCTGTCCACCAAGGTGAGACACGTGAGGACATGGGGCCTGGGGGCACACGGAGGGACGAAGACAAAGATCCCCCGTGTAGCCTTGACAGACTGTAGGGGCAAGTGCTGCTAGCGAGCAGCACACACAGACACACACAAACACACACACAGACACACACCAACAACACAGAGACACATACACAACACACACAGACACATACACAACACACAGAGACACACACACAGACACACACACAGACACACACACAGACACACGCACAGACACAACACACATACAGACACACACAAACACAAAAAGATCCCCCGTGTAGCCTTGACAGACTGTAGGGGCAAGTGCTGTTAGCGAGCACCACACACAGACACACACACACAGACACACACCAACAACACAGAGACACATACACAACACACACAGACACACACACAGACACACACACAGACACACACAGAGACACACACACAGACACACACACAGACACAGACACACAAACACAAAAAGATCCCCCGTGTAGCCTTGACAGACTGTAGGGGCAAGTGCTGTTAGCGAGCACCACACAACACACACACACACAGACACACACCAACAACGCAGAGACACATACACAACACACACAGACACACACACAGACACAACACACACACACAGACACACAAACACAAAAAGATCCCCCGTGTAGCCTTAGCAGACTGTAGGGGCAAGTGCTGTTAGCGAGCACCACACACAGACACACACAGACACACACAGACACACACACAGACACACACCAACAACACAGAGACACATACACAACACACACAGACACACACACAGACACACAGAGACACACACACAGACACACACACAGACACAACACACACACACAGAGACACACAGACACAAAAAGATCCCCCATATAGCCTTAACAGACTGTAGGGGCAAGTGCTGTTAGCGAGCACCTATGAAGGCCGGAACGGCACACGAGGGGGTGGGTGGCCAGCACCACGCCCGGCCGCCTTTGTCTCCCCAGTGGCGATGTTTACTACACACAGCACCAGGTACTCGTTTGAGGCTGAGTCTACCTAGGGGAGGCCCAGCACCGGTTCAGATAATCGTCACCGGTGTTGGCCGTGAGCGGGAATCGAACCCGGGTCGCCAGGTTCATAGCGCAGCGTGGCGCTGACCACTACTACCACTACCGCTCCCCACTACGGCGGGAGACACACGGAGGGAGACACACGGAGGGAGACACACGGAGGGAGACACACTTAGTGAGACACACTTAGTGAGACACACGGAGGGAGACACACTTAGTGAGACACACGGAGGGAGACACACTTAGTGAGACACACTAAGTGAGACACACGGAGGGAGACACACGGAGGGACACGCACAGAGGGAGACACGGAGGGAGACACACGGAGGGAGACACACGGAGGGAGACACACGGAGGGAGACACACTTAGTGAGACACACGGAGGGAGACACATGGAGGGAGACACACTTAGTGAGACACACTTAGGGAGACACACGGAGGGAGACACACTTAGTGAGACACACTTAGTGAGACACACGGAGGGAGACACACTTAGTGAGACACACGGAGGGAGACACACTTAGTGAGACACACGGAGGGAGACACACTTAGTGAGACACGCTTATTGAGACACACTTAGTGAGACACACGGAGGGAGACACACGGAGGGAGACACACGGAGGGAGACACACTTAGTGAGACACACGGAGGGAGACACACGGAGGGAGACACACGGAGGGAGACACACTTAGTGAGACACACGGAGGGACACGCACAGAGGGAGACACACGGAGGGAGACACACGGAGGGAGACCCACGGAGGGAGACACACGGAGGGAGACACACGGAGGGAGACACACGGAGGGAGACACACGGAGGGAGACACACTTAGTGAGACACACTTAGTGAGACACACGGAGGGAGACACACTTAGTGAGACACACGGAGGGAGACACACTTAGTGAGACACACTTAGTGAGACACACGGAGGGAGACACACTTAGTGAGACACACTTAGTGAGACACACGGAGGGAGACACACGGCGGGAGACCCACGGAGGGAGACACACAGAGGGAGACACACGGAGGGAGACACACTTAGTGAGACACACGGAGGGAGACACACGGAGGGAGACACACTTAGTGAGACACACTTAGTGAGACACACGGAGGGAGACACACTTAGTGAGACATACGGAGGGAGACACACTTAGTGAGACACACTTAGTGAGACACACTTAGTGAGACACACGGAGGGAGACGCACAGAGGGAGACACACGGAGGGAGATACACTTAGCGAGACACACGGAGGGAGACACACTTAGTGAGACATACTTAGCGAGACACACGGAGGGAGACACACTTAGTGAGACACACGGAGGGACACGCACAGAGGGAGACACACGGAGGGAGACACACGGAGGGAGACACACGGAGGGAGACACACGGAGGGAGACACACTTAGTGAGACATACTTAGTGAGACACACGGAGGGAGACACACGGAGGGACACGCACAGAGGGAGACACGGAGGGAGACACGGAGGGAGACACACGGAGGGAGACACACGGAGGGAGACACACGGAGGGAGACACACTTAGTGAGACACACGGAGGGAGACACATGGAGGGAGACACACTTAGTGAGACACACTTAGGGAGACACACGGAGGGAGACACACTTAGTGAGACACACTTAGTGAGACACACGGAGGGAGACACACTTAGTGAGACACACGGAGGGAGACACACTTAGTGAGACACACTTAGTGAGACACACGGAGGGAGACACACTTAGTGAGACACACTTAGTGAGACACACGGAGGGAGACACACGGCGGGAGACCCACGGAGGGAGACACACAGAGGGAGACACACTTAGTGAGACACACTTAGTGAGACACACGGAGGGAGACACACTTAGTGAGACACACTTAGTGAGACACACGGAGGGAGACACACGGCGGGAGACCCACGGAGGGAGACACACAGAGGGAGACACACGGAGGGAGACACACTTAGTGAGACACACGGAGGGAGACACACGGAGGGAGACACACTTAGTGAGACACACTTAGTGAGACACATGGAGGGAGACACACGGAGGGAGACACACAGAGGGAGACACACTTAGTGAGACACACTTAGTGAGACACACAGAGTGAGACACACTTAGTGAGACACACGGAGGGAGACACACGGAGGGAGACACACTTAGTGAGACACACTTAGTGAGACACACGGAGGGAGACACACGGAGGGAGACACACGGAAGGAGACACACAGAGGGAGACACACGGAGGGAGACACACTTAGTGAGACACACGGAGGGAGACACACGGAGGGAGACACACGGAGGGAGACACACGGAGGGAGACACACTTAGTGAGACACACGGAGGGAGACACACGGAGGGAGACACACGGAGGGAGACACACGGAGGGAGACACACGGAGGGAGACACACGGAGGGAGACACACGGAGGGAGACACACTTAGTGAGACACACGGAGGGAGACACACGGAGGGAGACACACGGAGGGAGACACACTTAGTGAGACACACGGAGGGAGACACACGGAGGGAGACACACTTAGTGAGACACACTTAGTGAGACACACAGAGGGAGACACACTTAGTGAGACACACGGAGGGACACACTTAGTGAGACACACTTAGTGAGACACACTTAGTGAGACACACGGAGGGAGACACACTTAGTGAGACACACGGAGGGAGACACACTTAGTGAGACACACTTAGTGAGACACACGGAGGGAGACACACTTAGTGAGACACACGGAGGGAGACATACTTAGTGAGACACACTTAGTGAGACACACTTAGTGAGACACACTTAGTGAGACACACGGAGGGAGACGCACGGAAGGGGGGGCACACGGGGAATGTGGCGGGTGTGTATGAGTGTGTCTGTATGAATGTGGGGTGTGTGAGTGTCTTTGTATGTATGTATGTGTATGTGTAAGTTAGTGTGTGTGTGTGAGTGTCTTTGTGGTCTATGTGTGTGTGTGAGTTAGTGTGTGTATATGTGTGAGTTAGTGTGTGCATGTGTGTGTGTGAGTTAGTGTGTGCGTGTGTGTGAGTTAGTGTGTGAGTTAGTGTGTGTATGTGTGTGAGTTAGTGTGTGTGTGTGAGTTAGTGTGTGTATGTGTGTGTGAGTTAGTGTGTGTATGTGTGTGTGAGTTAGTGTGTGTATGTGTGTGAGTTAGTGTGTGTGTGTGTGAGTTAGTGTGTGTATGTGTTAACAGCAGAGATCTCACTCCGAATCAGTCGAGCGGCAATATCTTTTCATCGGTTGCGTAACGCTGTGTGGAAGCTACCTGGTCTGTCGCTCCGCACTAAGCTTCAGGTCTTCTCGGCCACGGTCATTCCCTCCCTTCTCTATGCTTGCGAAACGTGGACCCCCCTAATGGAACATCTTCGCCGGTTAGAAACATTTAGGCTGGCCTGCCTACGATCCATCCTGGGTTTAACTAGACTGGATTGTGTGAGGAGCTCACAAATCCTTGAAAGATCTGGGCAAGGTCCCATCGGTGAGCTCCTCCGGCGGGCAAGGCTGCGATGGCTGGGTCATGTAGCCCGCATGCCCAGCCACCGCATGCCGAAACAGCTTTTGTTCGGCCGGATTGAGGGGGCAAAGCGGGCGCGGCACGGGCTGGAGAAGAGATGGAATGATGTGGTACAGGAGGACGTGGAGCTGAGTGGACGTGCCGATGACCGGTACCAGCGGTGTCAAGATCGGCCTCTGTGGAGGAGGCTCGTGAAGGACGCTGCTGGGCAGTTGGAGGTAGTCGCCCTCCAACAACAACGGAGGTGGAGGAGCGACCTCGACTACAACAACGAGCGGAGCGCCGGGTGGCTAAAGCACAGCAGGTTGGCACAGTAGGGGGCACAGGTGGTGCATCAGCCAGTCATCTCAGTCAGTCGACCCGTGGCACCTGGGTCTGCCCCGTGACCTCCTGCCAGCGGGCGTTCGACACTTCACGTGGCCTCAGGGTGCACATAGCCTGGCACAAGCGTCGTGGTGACGTCACCGCCACTTAGTGCCGAATGGCGGTTGTTGTTGTGTGTGTGTGAGTTAGTGTGTGAGTTAGTGTGTGAGTTAGTGTGTGAGTTAGTGTGTGAGTTAGTGTGTGTGTGTGTGTGAGTTAGTGTGTGAGTTAGTGTGTGTGTGTGTGTCTTGGTATCCACGTGTGTTGTATGAGCGGTGGCGCAGCGGTTAGCGCCACGCTGCGCTACGAACCCGGCCGCCCGAGTTCGATTCCCGCTCACGCCCAAAACCCGTCTTACGATAACCTGAGTCGCCCATGGGCCTCCCCTAGGTCGGCTCAGCCTCAAACTAGTAGCGGTGGTGTAGCGGTGGTGTCGTGTAGTCGTGAACATCGCTAGCACTGGGGGAGAGACAAAGGCGGCCGGGCGTGGTGGTGGTGCTGGCCACCCACCCCGGTAGCCTTCACATGCAGTGCTGCTGCTACTCGCTGCTCACGGCACTTGCCCCGACGGCTCTGGCGAGGCTACACGGGGGACCTTTGTCTTTGTGCGAGAGGGAGAGAGAGGGATGGGTGCTGTGTGAAGGCAGCTTGCTGTGTACGCTGGGGCCTGGGTGATTTGGATCACAGCTCCATCGCACCCTGGGACTCCCAAAGACCCTGGCACAACCCAAGTCTCACCACTCTCTCACCCCCTCTCTCTCTCTCTCACCACTCTCTCACCACTCTCTCTCACCACTCTCTCCCTCACCACTCTCTCTCACCACTCTCTCTCTCTCTCACCACTCTCTCTCTCACCACTCTCTCTCTCTCACCACTCTCTCTCTCTCACCACTCTCTCTCTCTCTCACCACTCTCTCTCTCACCACTCTCTCTCTCACCACTCTCTCTCTCTCACCACTCTCTCTCTCTCACCACTCTCTCTCTCTCACCACTCTCTCTCTCACCACTCTCTCTCTCTCACCACTCTCTCTCTCTCACCACTCTCTCTCTCTCTCACTCTCTCACCACTCTCTCTCTCACCCTCTCTCTCTCACCACTCTCACCATCTCCCTCCCACCACTCTCTCTCTCTCTCACCACTCTCTCTCACCACTCTCTCACCACTCTCTCTCACCACTCTCTCTCACCACTCTCTCACCACTCTCTCTCACCACTCTCTCTCTCACCACTCTCTCTCTCACCACTCTCTCTCTCCCTCTCTCTCTCTCTCACCACTCTCTCTCTCCCCCTCTCTCTCACTCTCTCTCTCACCACTCTCTCTCACCACTCTCTCACCACTCTCTCTCTCCCCCTCTCTCTCACTCTCTCTCTCACCACTCTCTCTCACCACTCTCTCACCACTCTCTCTCTCTCCCTCACCCCCTCTCTCACCACTCTCTCTCTCTCCCTCACCCCCTCTCTCACCACTCTCTCTCTCTCACCACTCTCTCACCACTCTCTCTCTCACCACTCTCACCACTCTCTCTCACTCTCTCTCTCACCACTCTCTCTCACCACCCTCTCTCACCACTCTCTCTCTCACCACTCTCTCTCCCCCTCTCTCTCTCACCCTCTCTCTCTCACCACTCTCACCATCTCCCTCCCACCACTCTCTCTCTCTCCCACCACTCTCTCTCTCTCACCACTCTCTCTCTCTCCCCCTCTCTCTCACCATCTCTCTCACCACTCTCTCTCTCACCCTCTCTCTCTCTCTCTCTCCCCCCTCTCTCTCTCCCCCTCTCTCTCACCATCTCTCTCACTCTCTCTCTCACCCCCTCTCTCACCACTCCCTCTCTCCCCCTCTCTCTCCCCCTCTCTCTCACCATCTCTCTCTCTCCCCCCTCTCTCTCTCTCACCCCCTCTCTCACCACTCTCTCTCTCCCCCTCTCTCTCACCATCTCTCTCACCACTCTCTCTCACCCTCTCCCTCTCTCTCCCCCCTCTCTCTCTCCCCTCTCTCTCTCCCCCCTCTGTCTCTCCCCCCTCTCCCTCCCGCTCTCTCTGCGGCTGTCTCTCCCCCTCTCCACAATCCTCACCTTGCAGTGAAACCTCACGCCTCTCCCCGCCTCCCACAATGCCCCGGGGCAGGCCGCCCCCTCACCTCCGACCCTGGGACTGCCCCCTCCCCCCCGTGCGAGTGTGTGTCTGCGTCTGCGTGTTTGTCTGTGTGTGTGTGTGTCTGTCTGTGTCTGCGTGTGTGTGTCTTCATGGGGAGCGGTAGTGTAGCGGTTAGCGCTACGCTGCGCTATGAACCTGGCGACCCGGGTTCGATTCCCGCTCACGGCCAACACCAGTGACGATTATCTGAACCGGTCCCGGGCTTCCCCTAGGTCGACTCAGCCTCAAATGAGTACCTGGTGCGGTGTGTAAACATTGCCACTAGGGAAACAAAGGCGGTCGGGCGTGGTGCTGGCCACCCACCCCCTCGTGTACTGTTCCAGCCTTAATAGGTGCTCGCTAACAGCACTTGCCCCTACAGTCTGTTAAGGCTATATGGGGGATCTTTGTCTTTGTGTCTACATGTCTGCGTGTGTCTTTGTGTGCGTGTCTACATGTCTCTGTGTCTGTATGTCACTCACCCACTTGCTCACTGACCCACTCACGCACCGCTCGCTCGCTCGCTCACTCACTCACCCACTCATTCACTCGCCCACTCACTTGCTCATCCACTCACCCACTCACTCGCTCACCCACTCACTCGCTCATCCACTCGCTCACCCACTCACTCGCTCATCCACTCACCCACTCACTCGCTCATCCACTCACCCACTCGCTCAACCGCTCACTTGCTCACCCACTCACTCGCTCATCCACTCACCCACTCACTCGCTCATTCATTCGCTCACCCACTCACTCGCTCACCCACTCACCCACTCACTCGCTCATCCACTCACCCACTCACTCGCTCATCCACTTACTCGCTCACCCACTCACCCACTCGCTCACCCACCTACTCACTCACGTTAATGAGTAGCTGGTGTAGCGGAATGAGTAGCTGGTGTAGCGGTGGTGTAGTAGTGAACATCGCTAGCACTGGGGGAGAGAGACAAAGGCGGCCGGGCGTGGTGGTGCTGGTGGCCACCCACCCCCTCTGTGTGTGCCACAGTGCCGGTAGCCTTCATAGGTAGCGCTGCTGCTACTAACAGCACTTGCCCCTACAGCCTGCTAGAGGCTACACGGGGGATCTTTGTGTGTGTGTGTATTTGTGTCTGTGTGGTGATGTTGGTGCAGTTGTTGGTGGTGATGGTGATGGTGGTGATGGTGACGGTGATGTTGACAGTGATGGTGTTGATGTTCCAGATCGAGGTGAAGATGTTGAAGAGGGACTCTCAGCGCTGGGATGGTGATGATGGTGGTGGTGGTGGTGATGATGATGATGTTGATGGTGACGGTGATGTTGATGGTGGTGGTGATGATGCTGTTGATGGTGACGGTGATGTTGATGGTGATGTTGATGGTGACGATGATGGTGATGTTGATGGTGATGTTGACGGTGATGGTGGTGATGATGATGATGTTGATGGTGACGGTGATGTTGATGGTGACGGTGATGATGTTGATGGTGGTGGTGATGTTAATGGTGATGTTGACGGTGATGATGATGTTGACAGTGATGGTGTTGATGTTCCAGATCGAGGTGAAGATGTTGAAGAGGGACTCTCAGCGCTGGGATGGTGATGATGGTGGTGGTGATGGTGGTGGTGGTGATGATGATGGTGACGTTGATGTTGATGGTGACGACGATGGTGATGTTGATGGTGACGGTGATGGTGTTGATGTTCCAGATCGAGGTGAAGATGTTGAAGAGGGACTCTCAGCGCTGGGATGGTGATGATGGTGGTGGTGGTGGTGATGATGGTGTTGATGGTGACGGTGATGTTGATGGTGACGGTGATGTTGATGGTGATGGTGTTGATGTTCCAGATCGAGGTGAAGATGTTGAAGAGGGACTCTCAGCGCTGGGATGGTGATGATGGTGGTGGTGGTGATGATGATGATGTTGATGGTGACGGTGATGTTGATGGTGATGTTGATGGTGGTGGTGGTGATGATGCTGTTGATGGTGACGATGATGGTGATGTTGATGGTGATGTTGACGGTGATGGTGGTGGTGATGATGATGTTGATGGTGACGGTGATGTTGATGGTGATGTTGACGGTGATGATGATGTTGACAGTGATGGTGTTGATGTTCCAGATCGAGGTGAAGATGTTGACGAGGGACTCTCAGCGCTGGGATGGTGATGGTGGTGGTGGTGGTGGTGATGATGTTGATGGTGACGACGATGGTGATGTTGATGGTGACGGTGATGTTGATGGTGATGGTGTTGATGTTCCAGATCGAGGTGAAGATGTTGAAGAGGGACTCTCAGCCCTGGGATGGTGATGGTGGTGGTGATGATGTTGATGGTGACGGTGATGTTGATGGTGACGGTGATGATGATGTTGATGGTGGTGGTGATGTTGATGGTGATGTTGACGGTGATGATGATGTTGATGGTGATGGTGTTGATGTTCCAGATCGAGGTGAAGATGTTGAAGCGGGACTCTCAGCGCTGGGCCTCCCTCGAGGGAGCCGGAGAGACGTCCACTGCCAGGAGCTTCACTGCAGGTGGTGGGCACGGCCATTATGGACATCCGTGGAAGTGGTGGTGATAGTGGTGGTGGTGGTGGTGATGGTGGTGGTGATGGTGGTGGTGGTGGTGATGGTGGTGGTGATGGTGGTGGTGGTGGTGATAGTGGTGGTGGTCACAGTGGTGTTGATAGTGGTGGTGATAGTGGTGTTGATAGTGGTGGTGATAGTGGTGTTGATAGTGGTGGTGATAGTGGTGTTGATAGTGGTGGTGATAGTGGTGTTGATAGTGGTGGTGATAGTGGTGTTGATAGTGGTGGTGATAGTGGTGTTGATAGTGGTGGTGATAGTGGTGTTGATAGTGGTGGTGATAGTGGTAGTGATAGTGATGGTGATAGTGGTGTTGATAGTGGTGTTGATAGTGGTGGTGATAGTGGTGGTGGTGATAGTGGTGGTGATAGTGGTGTAGATAGTGGTGTTGATAGTGGTGGTGATAGTGGTGTTGATAGTGGTGGTGATAGTGGTGATGGTGGTGGTGATAGTGATGGTGATAGTGGTGGTGGTGGTGATAGTGGTGTTGATAGTGGTGGTGATAGTGGTGTTGATAGTGGTGGTGATAGTGGTGGTGATGGTGATAGTGGTGGTGATGGTGGTGGTGGTGGGGGTGATAGTGGTGGTGATAGTGGTGGTGATAGTGGTGTTGATAGTGGTGGTGGTGATAGTGGTGGTGGTGGGGGTGATAGTGGTGGTGATAGTGGTGCTGGTGGTGCTGGTCGAGATGGTGGTGGCAGTGGTGGTGGTTCTGGTGTTGCTGGTGGTGGCGATGGTGGTTGATGCTAGTGGTGGTGGTGGAGGTGTTGCTGGTGGTGGCGATGGTGGTGGAGGTGGTGGAGGTGGTGGTGGATATGTTGGAGGTTTCAAGTTGACCTCCATTGTATTTGACAGACTCAGCCACACTCCCCATCTGTTGAGGAAGTACTGAAGGTGATCCGGAGTCCTGAGACCAGGAAAGGCACTGGGCAGAGATGATCTCCCAAGCGAAATACTGAGGGAGGGTGGCGTTTGTGCACAGACTGCCCTATATGACATCATAACAACAGTCTGGACCACTGGACGGGTTCAGCAGGATTGGAAGGATGCCCTGGTGGTTCTTCCCCTCTTTAAGAAGGGGGGACCGCACAGACTGTAACAACTACAGGGGCATCTCACTCCTCAGTGTTCCGGGAAAGATCCTGGCAAGGATTTTTCAACATCGCCTCGCCAGGCACGCTGAGGAGAGGCTTGCGGAGCCCCAAATATGCGGTTTCAGGAAAGGGCGGTCCTGCACAGATGCCATATTTTCTGTCCGTCTGCTACAGCAGAGGTGTAGGGAATTTCGCCCAAGACCTACATCTCTGCTTTATTGACCTGGTCAAGGACTATGATACCATCAGTAGGCGTGGGCTCTGGGTTGTTCTTCATGCTTTCGGAGTCCCTGACCCTCTGCTCACGATCATTAAGGACCTTCATGATGGTGAGCGGGCCCGGGTAAAACTACGTGACTGGGAGTCGGAGCTATTCCCTGTTCACCTTGGGGTGCGACAGGGATGTCCTCTGGCTTCCACATTGTTTAACATCTATTTCGACCACGTAGTTCGTGAAGCCTTCAATAGCTGTACCGGAGGAATCTCCATTCGGTACAGATATAATGGGAGACTGATCGATGCCCGGGTGCGGTCAAGGGTTGGCTCCCTATTGCTCAACCACGTTATGTATGCCGATAATCTGGTTAATTGCTGCTCACTCAGAGGAGGAGTTGGAGGCGCTGCTGCTGAACCTGGAGCTTGCCACTAAGAGGTGGGGCCTTAGCATCAGCCCCACCAAAACTAAGCACCTGCCTGATTATTTTATACCATCGGGCACTCCTGCCAGCGGGCGTTCGACACTTCACGTGGCCTCAAGGTGCACATAGCCTGGCACAAGCGTCGTGGTGACGCCGCCGCCACTTAGTGGCGAATGGCGGTTGTTGTTGGAGGTTTAAAGTTGGCTTGGATTGTAAATTAGACACTCATCCACACTCCTCACCACCGCCGCTGGTGGTGGTGTTGGTGTTGGTGGTGGCGGCGGAGCAGGAGGTGGTGGGTGTGATGGTGGAGGTGTTGGAGATTGTGATGGTGGAGGTGGTCGAGGAGATGGTGGTGGTGGTGGAGGTGGTGAAGGTGGTGGTGGTGGTGGTGGTGAAGATCGTGGTGAAGATGGCGGTGAAGGTGGCGGTGGAGGTGGTATTGGTTTCAAGTTGACCTCGATTTTATTTCACCGACTCATCCACACTGCTGCTGGTGCTGCTGCTGCTGGTGGTGGTGGTGGTGAAGGTTGTGAAGGTGGTGGAGGTGGTGGAGGTGAAGATGGTGCTGAAGGTTGCGGTGGCGGTGGTTATTGGTTTCAAGTTGACCTCGATTTTATTTCACAGACTCATCCACACTCCCCGCCGCTACCGCTACCGCCGAAGCCGGCACGGGCACCGGTGCAGCCGGCGGCGGCGGTGCAGCCGGTGGTGGCGGTGCAGTCCGTGCGAGGGACTGGGACGCTCTGGGCCGAGCCATTGCGGAGGAGGAGCGCAGCGAGAAGTTGGAGGGAGACGCTGCCCTGAACCAGCTCTTCCAGCAGATCTACGCCGATGCCACGGAGGAAACGCGGCGCGCCATGAACAAGTCCTTCGTGAGTCGCCCGCCCGCTCGCTCGCCCGTCCGCTCGCCCGTCCGCTCGCTCGCCCGTCCGCTCGCTCGCCCGTCCGCTCGTCCGCTCGCCCGTCCGCCCGCTCGCCCGTCCGCCCGCTCGCCCTGTGTGTGTGTGCGCGAGTGTGGGGGGAGCGGTAGTGCAGCTGCGCTTCTGATTCGAGCTCACGCACCGACGCCGGTGTTACGATTATCCGAACCCGGTCCTGGGCCTCTCCCGCTACGTCGGCGGCGGCCTCAAACGAGCACCTGGTGCGGTGTAGTAGTTAACATCGCCATTGGGGGAGACAAAGGCGGCCGGGCGGGCATGGTGCTGGCCACCCAGCCCCCTCGTGTTAGCGTGCCGGCCTTCTTAGGCGCTACTAATCGCTGACAGCACTTGGCCCCGACGTTTGTGTGAAGGCTACACGGGGGATCTTTGTCTTTGTGTGTGTGTGTGTGTACGCAGGTGGAGTCAGGTGGTACGGTGCTGAGCACAAACTGGGGAGAGGTTGGACAAAAACGCGTTCCCATCAAGCCACCCGATGGCATGGAGTGGAAAGACTTTGAGATTTAGACTCGCTCAATCGTAGACTCGCTCACCCGTACACTCGCTCACTCGTACACTCGCTCACTCGTACACTCGCTCACTCGTACACTCGCTCACTCGCTCACTCGTACACTCGCTCACTCGTACACTCGCTCACTCGCTCACTCGTACACTCGCTCACTCGTACACTCGCTCACTCGTACACTCGCTCACTCGTACACTCACACATACTCGCACATGCTCGCACTCACACTCGTACACACATTCACACGTACACACACTCACACGTGCACACATTCACACGTACACACACTCACTCGTACACACACGTACACACACTCACTCGTACACACATTCACTCGTACACACACTCGCTCGTACACACATTCACTCGTACACACACTCACACGTACACACACTCACACTCGTACACACACACACACACGTACACACATTCACTCGTACACACACTCACTCATACACACACGTACACACACTCACACGTACACACATTCACACGTGCACACATTCACATGTACACACACTCACACGTACACACACTCACACGTACGCACATTCACACGTACGCACATTCACACGTACACACACTCACACGTGCACACACTCACACGTGTAGCCTTAACAGACTGTAGGGGCAAGTGCTGTTAGCGAGCACCTATGAAGGCCGGCACTGTGGCACACGAGGGGGTGGGTGGCCAGCACCACGCCCGACCGCCTTTGTCTCCCCAGTGGCAATGTTTTTATCCACCGCACCAGGTACTAGTTTGAGGCTAAGTCGACCTAGGAGAGGCCCAGGACCGGTTCAGATAATAGTCACTGACGGTGTTGGCCGTGAGCGGGAATCGAACCCGGGTCGCCAGGTTCATAGCGCAGCGTAGCGCTAACCAGCTACACTATCGCTCCCCCCTTACTCACACACTCACACACACACTCACACACACACTCTCACACATACACACTCTCACGCACACACACACACACACATTCACTTACAACAACAACAACCGCCATTCGCCACTAAGTGGCGGTGACGTCACCACGACGCTTGTGCCAGGCTATGTGCACCCTGAGGCCACGTGAAGTGTCGAACGCCCGCTGGCAGGAGGTCACGGGGCAGACCCAGGTGCCACGGGTCGACTTACACACACTCACACACATTCACTCACACACTCGCACACTCACTCGCACACTCACTCGCACACTCACTCGCACACGCACACTCACACGCACACTCACACACACCCTCTCACACATACACACTCATCCATACTCACTCACACACTCTCACTCATACTTACACTCACACACACCCACACACACACACTCTCACACACACACTCCCACACACACACTCACACACACACTCACACACACACTGTCACACACACGCTCACACACTCCCACACACACACTCACACACACACTCACTCACACACACACTGTCACACACACACACTCTCACACACACTCACACACTCACACACACACACACACATTCACTCACAAACACACACTCACAAACACACACACACTCCCTCACACACACTCTCACACATACACTTACACACACACACTCATACTCACACACACTCCCACGCACACAAACACTCACACACACTCTCACACACACTTTCACACACACTTTCACACACTCACTCACACACACTCCCACACACACTTTCACACACACTCACACACTTTCACACACTCCCACACACACATACACACACACACACTGTCACACACTCACTTACACACACACTCACTCACACACACACATACACACACTCTCACTCACACACACACATACACACACACTCACACAGAGACGCATGGAGACCCCTGTCCTTGCCCAGACGGCCTTCACCTTTATTATTCGTGTTGTTGTTGTTGTTGTGGTGGTTGTTGTGGTGGTTGTTGTGGTGGTTGTGGTGGTTGTTGGTGTACAGGGAAACCAGCCTAGTCCACACAGGCACTTCTGTGTCCGCCACGCTCGCTCATCACAACCACTTACCAACACGCTCGCCAACACGCTCGCCAACACGCTCACCAACACGCTCACCAACACGCTCACCAACACGCTCACCAACACGCTCACCCCGCTCACCTTCCCCAGCCTGCTCTGACTCGCACAGAGACACACAGACTCACCGCACACACAGACTCACCACACAAGAGACACAGACTCACCACACAAGAGACACAGACTCACCACACACAGACTCACCACACAAGAGACACATACTCACCACACACACAGACTCAGACTCACCACACACACAGACTCAGACTCACCACACACACAGACTCACCACACACAGACAGACTCACCACACACAGACAGACTCACCACACAAGAGACACAGACTCACCACACACAGACAGACTCACCACACAAGAGACACAGACTCACCACACACAGACACAGACTCGCCACACAAGAGACACAGACTCACCACACAAGAGACACATACTCACCACACAAGAGACACAGACTCACCACACACACTCACCACACAACACACAGACTCACCACACAACACACAGACTCACCACACAACACACAAACTCACCACACAACACACAGACTCACCACACAAGAGACACAGACTCACCACACAGACAGATTCACAACACAGAGACAGACTCACCACACACAGACTCACCACACACACATAGACTCACCACACACATACATAGAGGGGACTGCCTGCCCCTCTGTTTTTATAGCCCTCGTGACGATGGCGGCAATGGTAGAGGTGCCGTGTGTCACAATAAACTCTTAAGCGATTGCCGTGTCAGCAACGGTGTCACTGGTCGTGGTGGTCGATTGTGGTTAGAGTGGTTGTGGTGCACGTGATGAATGTAGTGTTGATGATCGTGATGGTGGTGATTGTGATGGTGTCGATGGTCAACGTGATGGTGGTGATTGTGATGGTGTTGATGGTCAACGTGATGAATGTAGTGTTGATGATTGTGATGGTGGTGATTGTGATGGTGTTGATGATCGTGATGATGATCATGATGGTGGTGATGGTGGTGATGGTCAACGTGATGAATGTAGTGTTGATGATCGTGATGGTGGTGATTGTGATGGTGTTGATGGTCAGCGTGATGATTGTAGTGTTGATGATCGTGATGGTGGTGATTGTGATGGTGTTGATGGTCAACGTGATGAATGTAGTGTTGATGATCGTGGTGATTGTGATGGTGTTGATGGTCAGCGTGATGAATGTAGTGTTGATGATCGTGATGGTGGTGATTGTGATGGTGTCGATGGTCAACGTGATGAATGTGGTGTTGATGATCGTGATGGTGTTGATGGTCGTGATGGTGGTGATTGTGATGGTGTTGATGATCGTGATGGTGGTGATTGTGATGGTGTTGATGGATGTAGTGTTAACGGGAAAGACATTGGTGATGGTGGCAACCATCCACCCACACCACCACCTCACCCACCAACCCACTCACCACCTCACCCACCAACCCACCCACCAACTCTGGCGATGCCCATTGAGACATCCACCCACCAATCCCCCCACCAACTTATCCACCAAACCCAGCTCAGATGACGTCCAGAAAGCCACCCACCCACAAATCTACCCACCCACCAATCTACCCACCAATCCACCTACCTCCCCCCCCTCCAACTCACTAATCCACCCACCCAGCTGATATGACGCCCAGAAACCCACCCACCAATCCACTCACCAAGCCGTGCGCAGACAACGCCCAGAAACCCACCCACCAATCCACCCACCCACCAATTCATCCAACTCAACCCAGCTCAGATGACATCTAGGAACCCACCCACCAATGTACCCACCCACCAATGTACCCACCTACCTACTAACCAAACAATCCACCCACCAATGTACCCACCCACCAATGTACCCACCTACCTACTAACCAAACAATCCACCCACCAATGTACCCACCCACCATTGTACCCACCTACCTACTAACCAAACAATCCACCCACCAATGTACCCACCTACCTACTAACCAAACAATCCACCCACCAATGTACCCACCAATGTACCTACTAACCAAACAATCCACCCACCAATGTACCCACCCACCAATGTACCTACTAACCAAACAATCCACCCACCAATGTACCTACTAACCAAACAATCCACCCACCAATGTACCCACCCACCAATGTACCCAACTACCTACTAACCAAACAATCCACCCACCAATGTACCCACCTACCTATTAACCAAACAATCCACCCACCAATGTACCCACCCACCAATGTACCTACCAATGTACCCACCCCACATGTACTAATACCAAACAATCCACCCACCAATGTACCTACTAACCAAACAATCCACCCACCAATGTACCCACCCACCAATGTACCCACCTACCTACTAACCAAACAATCCACCCACCAATGTACCCACCTACCTACTAACCAAACAATCCACCCACAAATGTACCCACCTACCTACTAACCAAACAATCCACCCCACCAATGTACCCACCCACCAATGTACCTACTAACCAAACAACCCACCCCACCAATGTACCCACCCACCATTGTACCCACCTACCTACTAACCAAACAATCCACCCACCAATGTACCCACCTACCTACTAACCAAACAATCCACCCCACCAATGTACCCACCCACCAATGTACCTACTAACCAAACAACCCACCCCACCAATGTACCCGCCCACCTATCCACCAACCCCAGCTCGGACAAAACTCAGGAAGTTTTGCCACCCACCATCACACTCACCCCACACCACCAATCCACCCACCAACCAGTCCACCAACCGACCCCACCAATCCACCCACCAACCAGTCCACCAACCGACCCCACCAATCCACCCACCAACCAGTCCACCACCCACCACCACCCACCACCACCCACCAAGCGCCTAGACGACGCCCAGGAAGCGTGCCACCCACCACGCGCAGGGCATGAGCAGTCTGCAGGTGACCCGGCATCCGTGGTAGTTGTATGGCCATGGCTCGTAGCCGGCCAGGGGCTCGCACACGCGCTGGCAGTGCGGGTACGCACGCCGGCACTCGGCGCAGCAAATGCCCTTGTGGTCCAGCATGGGGTCGAAGGTCATGCCGTTGAGGTCACGGCCCAGGTCCATGCGCTGGAGGTGGTGGGGGTGGGGTGGGTTGTGGGGGGTTAGGGTGGTGGTGGTGGTGGTGGTGTCAATGGCTGGTGAACGTGATGGATGTGGCAGAGGCCTTTGTGGTGCAGCATGGGGTCGAAGGGTCATGCCGTTGAGGTCACGGAGACGCGCAGAGACACGCACACACGCAGAGACACGCACAGACACACACACCCGCACACACAGAGAGACACACAGAGAGAGAGAGACACACAGACACACACACAGAGACACACACACACAGACACACACAGAGACACACACAGAGAGAGACACACAGAGAGACACACAGAGACAGACACACAGACATACACACAGAGCCACACACAGAGACACACACACAAAGAGACACACAGACACACATACACACAGAGACACACAGACACACACAGAGACACACACAGACACACACAGACACACACACGCACACACACATACAGAGAGAGAGACACACAGACACACACAGAGACACACAGAGACACACACGCAGAAACACACACACGCACACACGCACACACACAGAGACACACACAGAGAGAGAGACACACAGACATACAGCGACACAGACATGCACACACACAGAGACACACAGCGACACAGACACACACACAGAGACACACACACACGCACACACAGACACACACACACACATACACACACATACACACACAGACACACAGACACACACACAGACACACACACAGACACACACACACACAGACACACACACAGAGACACACGCATACAGACACACACATACACACAGAGACACACACACACGCACACACAGAGACACACGCACACACAGACACACACAGAGAGACACACGCACACACAGAGACACACACACAGAGACACACACAGACACACAGACACACACATAGACACACACACAGAGACACACGCACACAGACACACACATACACACAGAGACACACGCACACACAGAGACACACGCACCGCACACACAGAGACACACGCACACACAGACACACACACACAGAGAGACAAACACACACAGACACACACAGAGACACACAGAGACACACACACACAGACACACACACAGACACACACACACACAGACACACACACACAGACACACACACACAGAGACACACACACACACAGACACACACACACACACACAGACACACACACACACACAGACACACACACAGAGACACACACGCACACACAGACACACACACAGAGACACACACAGACACACACACAGACACACAGACACACACACATAGACACACACACAGAGACACACAGACACACAGACACACACACACACAGACACACTGACACACACACAGACACACACACACATAGACACACACACAGAGACACACGCACACAGACACACACGCACACACAGAGACACACACGCACACACACAGACACACACACACGCACAGACACACACACAGAGACACACACACATAGACACACACAGACACAGACACACACAGACACACACACACAGAGACACACACACAGACACACAGACACACACACACATAGACACACACACACACACATAGACACACACACAGAGACACACACAGACACACACACGCACACATACATACAGAGAGAGAGACACGCAGACACACACACAGAGACACACAGAGACACGCACACAGAGACACGCACACAGAGACACACACAGACACACACACACACACGCACACACAGAGACACAGAGAGAGAGACACACAGACACACACACAGAGACACACACACATACACAGACACACACAGAGACACACACAGAGACAGACACACAGACATACACACAGAGCCACACACAGAGACACACACACAGAGAGACACACAGACACACATACACACAGAGACACACAGAGACACACACACAGAGACACACACAGACACACACACGCACACACACATACAGAGAGAGAGGCACACAGACACACACACAGAGACACACAGAGACACACACGCAGAAACACACACACGCACACAGGCACACACACAGACACACACACACACAGAGAGACACACAGAGACATACAGCGACACAGACACGCACACACACAGAGACACACAGCGACACAGACACACACACAGAGACACACACACACGCACACACAGACACACACACACAGACACACACATACACACAGA